ATGGCTTTGATGTCAATGATTTTTATTATTTACTCTATACGGTAGCTTTAATAGATTGAATGCTACAATTAAGTGGCAACATTGACTTCTCTCCGAGATTTTTAATTGATTTGTGAGAAAGCGATCAACAAAGGCTGCAACCCATGTCCCCTACATTTCACATTCTTCATCGTGCACTTGTTTGTTGCCCATTTTTTGCGAAGATTTCTTACCATCGGAGTAGTAAGTGGGCCATATGTAGCCGTCCTTTGTTGACTCACTTTGTAGTTGAAAATTAAGGCAACTACCCTCAACCATTTTAGTGAAATTTACAACCATCATGCCAAGGGCATAAATGGTAATTAACAGATTTAATTTGTGGAACACTCCATTGAATAGTCAAAATGCGGTAGCTCTGGTTGTCAACAAAAACCATAATATCAAACGCGAGGCCCATAAAAAATGAGATTGAAAAATGTGAGAAGAATGGGAGCCAAACACACGCTATAATTCGGTAAAAAAAAAAGCCTCCCAGACGAGCGTATTCTTAATTGTCGGGACATGAGAGAACAGGTTTAACAAAAAGATGAGCAATTTTTTCCTTGAAATTGCGTGGACTCTCGAGGAGCTGTCGGTGGACTTCCATGCAAGTTCACAAATATTATTTTCAGATATTAATTATCGATAGAGGAACTTGTATATGAAGAATTGCTTCCTCGTCAAGCAAATCTTCATCGCGTGAAAACAGTAAGAGTTCTAGTCTTACATTTCGAGATTTACATTATACTATCCATACTTTTGGCTACATACACACGTTCGCAAGAATGTTTGTAATGTAATTTCAATCTTTTACTTTAATACTATTATTTTTTACTATTTGCTCAAAAATAAAAAAATGCATGCCTTTACATTACTAGAATTTTCATTATGTAATTTCAGTATTTTTACTTCATTAGTTCGGCTTTTCACTATTTTCTCAATAAATTGTCAATTAGTGACGCATCTCGAAGAACTTTTTAGTATATTTATGAGAAACTGAACTTTCTGACACGAACACAATTTTTATACAAATAATCAAACACAATTCATGGTGCTCGACATAACTTTGAAGTGATCTCACAGTAATGGAAAAACTCATATATCATTGATCATAAGTTTTTACCCATGTACAGATTATTCTGTCCTGTAATAGCTTACATGGTTTACCTATCTACTCAATTAACTCAATTAATTAAAGAGGGCAGAATCCTAATCAAAATACAAAACTAGCAAAAATGGTTATGCACCAATAAGTAAATGAACTTCATGTACAAGACAATTACAATCACGCTAGCATATTTGCCCCGCCATGGATACTTGTGCGAGCTCCTGCTTTATAAGCTCCGAGACAAGGGACATGAGTTCCACTGTACAACATGAATGCTCGGTTGTTAAATCAACTCACACTTGACAACTTCAGATTTGAACATCATTGAATAGAGGATGAAAAACCATATTCTTAATTAGGATAATGCTAGAGGTACATAACCATCTACATAAGGGTGTCCATAATGTTGATGTGGCATGTGATCCCACCTTTAATTCAAATCTGACGCTTACACATGAATGGCCGGATGATTGCCACATCAGCATTATGGACACCCTTATGTAGATGCTTATGTACATCTAACATTATCCTCTTAATTAATGATCTACTGGGAGTCGGACAGAAAAGGTCAAACTCAATTATAAATACATAAAAACAGTCACAAAGGTATTTCGTTTCATACGTAAGTGCTAACAAAATTATCACCGGCAGAATATCCCTCCTGTGAGAGTTTGCGTGAGTGGTCAATGTAAATCAAGCAGAAGTTTCAGATATCTTTTCAATCACAGGCCAGAAACTGATTGTTCAACTTCCAAAAATCAATTCGACAATATAATCAGCCAGAAAAATATAAATCGAACACGTAAATACATGTTTGATATTCTATAAAACAATTACAGCATGTTACTTCTCCAAAATTTCTTTTCATTGTGCCGAAGATTCTTAGACAATGTGTCTAGAGTAACACTACAAAAGTATTGGAAGGCCTACAAAACCTTATATTTTCCCTCGGAGTATCTGGCTGAGTAAATATCTTGTATCAATACAATTATAAATTATATAAAGAAAAGTCTTCATCGTCTAGGAGAACATGTACTGTTCGACAAATTAGAACAATTTCAATGGCAAATCTCAACCATATATGTACTTTTTATCCTAGTCCTAAACCATGGATAATTGATTCTAGTGCTTTTGATCATATGACAAATCTCAACCATATATTGCACTCTTATGTGCCTTGTAATGATGGAAAAAATGTTCGAATTGCGGATGAAAATTTCTCATCCATTGCAGGGAAAGGATTGATCTATAAAATCTATTCTTTATGTCCCTGATCTTGCATGCAACCAACTCTCTAAAGATTCAAATTGTCGCGTTAACTTTTTTAAATCACATTGTGTTTTTCAGGACCTAAGCTTCGAGTTAAAGATTGGCAGTCAGGGGCGGACCCAGCACTCGGCGAGCCCCCGTCGCGTTAACTTTTTTAAATCACATTGTGTTTTTCAGGACCTAAACTTCGAGTTAAAGATTGGCAGTCAGGGGCGAACCCAGCACTCGACGAGCCCCCGCGGCCGCCCATGCTGGATCCGTCGGGAACTTCTTTTTTTTACATAGACAAATTTTTTAGCATATATAGCTATTATTTCATTTCATTTTCAAACGTCTCCTTCAGTTGAGTTGGTTAGAGTTTGCAATTCTTATAAGATGTCTCTAGTTCGATTCCCTAGCTTGCAATTCATATATTTTTAGTTCTCCAATTTTTACCATTTTACAATTTTTACCAAAATTAATGGCAATAGGGACGGGGGAGTCAAACCCGTGACTATTCTTAAAAATTATTGGAATCCTTACCATTAGGGCACTTGTTGAGTTCGATATTATTGTTAATATAATAATATATATTAAGTTTTAATAGTTTTAATGCAATTGTAAAAATTCGAACTTGAGCTCTTCCTTTGAATTATAACTTGGCCACAATGTCCATTGGTGAGTATTTTTAACTTGTATAAAAAATTATATATGTTCAATTTGAACAAAATAATTTTTATATTTAAATTTTAGGTTTTGATTTCCATCTTTTTTTAAAATACATTTTTCTCTCTTCTTTTCGACCACAATCTTCAATAAAATAATATTACACGTAAATTCAAAACTTTTCCTTATTTTTAAACACACATTCTCCAGCAAATCACTATTCTAAAATGCATTTTTTTAACAAAAATGGGCTGATAAGCTCTTAATATTTTATTGCTATCGACGGCCAACGGCCGCCCGTGCTGACTCAAAACCCTGGATCCGCCACTGTTGGCAGTGCTAGAATAGTGTAAGGTCTCTACTACTTTAACAACAACTTTCTTAGTGAGAAACAAGCATAAAGCTTTCTAGCATTATTTCTCTCTGTGCTGATGAGCAAGTAATGCTTTGGCATCTTAGACTAAGACATCCTAGTTTTCTCTATTTGAAATACTTAATTCCTATTTTATTTGAACATGTGGATTGTTCTTCTTTGCAATGTGAAAGTTGTTATTTATCTAAGAGTCATCGCACTACTTACAAACCAAAAACATATTGTGCATCAAAACTGTTTTACTTGATTTATAACGATGTTTGGGATCCCTCAAAAATTACAACGCCTTATAAGAAAAAATGGTTTGTAACTTTCATAGATGATAATACTCAGCTATGTAGGGTATATTTGATAAATCAAAAACCAAAAGTTAAAAATTTGTTCAAGATTTTTTATAATATGGTGGAAAACCAATTTCAAACAAAATAAAAATACTTCGCACTGATAATGGCATCGAGTATTTCAATCATGTCTCGGGAAATTTTTCTAAATAAAAAAGAAATTCATCTTCAATCTAATAGCAGTGATACCCATCATCAAAATGATATTGCTGAAAGAAAAAATAAACATTCACTGAAGTTACACGTGCTATAATGTTTTTTTATGCATGTACCCAAGTATCTATGCAGAAATGTTGTTATATCATATTTTGAAATGTCACATTAATAGAATGTTTCAAAAAAAAAAATCCAGAGTATCGACTTTTCTCTAAACTACCACTAAATTTTTTTGGATGTATTGTGTTTGTCCACTTACCTAGTAGGCTTCAGTCAAACGTAGATCCTAGGTCAAAAAAGTGTATTTCTACTGGTTATCCACCACGTAAGGATTATAAGTGCTTCAATCCTAGAACTAAAAGAACTCACGTTAGTATGGATGCATCGTTTGTGAAATATAAACCATATTTTGAAAAAACCTATCTTCAGGGAGAGAGAAGAGAATAATGAAGCTCAGTTTTGGGAAATAGCCACAACCACCCCCTTTACTCAGTACCTTTTTGCCAATACCTAGCTTTGATCCTCCCATCTCTAATAGTGAGAATGTTGGTATTCAGGATAGTAAAAAACTAGGAAATCCTAACCTATCAACAGCAAGCATAGATTACTCACAAGATTCCTTGTCAAATCCTTTATTAGACTCTCTGCCAAACATGTATTTTGAGTTTAGATTACCACCTATCAGTATTATATCATCAATCTAAACAAATAAAATGGAAAATTTTCCTTCTTTAGAGTGCCTATAGAACATAGTGTGACCTGCCTAGCTTTATGTTTATCAGTGACCTTTAACTGATTTCCCAAACCACTCAAACCAGGCCATGGGAGATTGGTTAAGACCCTACAGTGAATTAGTCTACAACATTTTCCTTCACCAAGTCGAGCTTCAAACCCCGTTGGTAGGTTCATAAAAACTTCTTCCAAATCCCCATTTAAGAATGCATTTTTAATGTTCAACTGATGTAAAAGCCAATATAGGTTGATGGCCACAGATAATACGAATAGAGTTAATCTTTGCAACTGGAGCAAAGGTCTCCTGATAATCAGTTTTGTGTGTTTGTGTGAATCATTTTGCCACTAAGCGTGCCTTGTACCTTTCTATACTTTCGTCCGCATTGCACTTCATAATAAACTGTCTCTACGGGTAGCATTTTTACTATGGACGGTGGTAAGAGGAAAGATATTAATGGTTGATAATCTTCGTGCAAGGGATTTTTATGTTACAGAGCAGTGTTATATGTGCAAGAGGGATAGGGAGATGATTGACCACCTGTTCCTTCATTGTGATGCTGCTCGTTTACTGTGGAACGATATTTTGGCCTCGCAACACATGGATTGGGTGTTTCCGAGACGTATGGAAGACATGTTAAAGGTATTGAGGAGAAAGTTTCGAGATAAGGATAGCAAACTTGTATAGTACCTTATTCCGAGTTGCATCGTATGTTGTATGTGGAGAGAAAGAAACAGTCGCTGTTTTGAAGATCAAACAGGGACAACAGAGCAGATTAGGAAATTATTTTATTTGACATTGTATAATTGGTTTAATGCTGCGGCTACTAGGCATATAGAAGGGCTGTCCAATTTCAAGTTGTTACTTTCTGATTTAAATTGATAATACACTTCCTGTGTATTATGCCTTGATTAATAAATTATTTGATTACCTTTCAAAAAAAAGGTAAATGCTCTATGAGACTTGGAGAGTCTATTGTAGGAGACATGTTTAGCAATAGGATGGTTTGTACAAGTTCAGACTCCTTTCCTAAGTGCTATCGACACATCTAGGTTATAAGAAATGGGGCTGGAGTTTGAAAACAAGTTTGGCTTGTTGTTGACTTCGAAATTAAAGGTTTAAGAACCTTAAAATACTTCCTCAGTATGGAGTTTGCTAGATCAAAAAGAAGAGCGTTTGTGTCTTAAAGAAAATATGTGCTAGTCCTCCTTGATGAGACGAGCCTACTTGGTTGCAAGGTAGCATAAACCCCAATTGAACTGAATTAGAAACTCCAATCAGCTAAACCAGAGAAAGTGAAGGACGGGAAACAATTTTAGAAACTTATCGGTAGGCTGATTTATTTTAACACACTTGCCCTGACATTGCATTTATGGTGAGCATTATAAGTCAATTTATGTATTCACTAGAGCCAGAACACTTCTGAGGCAGTTTACAAATCCTAAAGTACTTAAAGAATCACCAAAGGCCTAATATATATGTATATTTTAAAGGTAATCAAATATTTTATTAATCAATGCATAATACACAGGAAGTGTATTATCAATTTAAATTAAAAAGTAGCAACATGAAATTAGGCAGCCCGTCTATATGCCTAGTAGCCGCAGCATTAAACCAAGATACAATGTCAAATAAAATAATTCTCTAATCTGTTGTGTTGTCCGTGTTTGGTCTTCAAAACAGCGACTATTTCTTTCTCTCCACACACACCATACGATGCAGCTCGGAATAAGTCATACAAGTTTGTTATCCTTGTCTCGAAACTTTCTCCTCCATGCCTTTAACATGTCCTCCATACGCCTCGACAACACCCAATCCATGTGTTGCGAGGCCAAAATATTGTTCCACAGTAAACGAGCAGCATCACAATGAAAGAACAAGTTATCAATCATCTCCACATCCCTCTTACACATATAGCACCACTATGTAACATAAAACCCCTTGTATGAAGGTTATCCACCGTTAACACTTATCCTCTGACCACCGTCCATAGTATAAATGCCACTCGTGGGGACAGTTTACATTTACATACCATCTTCCATAAAAATCCTAGAAGAATTGAATATCTCAAACCCCATGCCAATGAAGGTCTATTTTGATAACAAAGCAGTTATCTCAATAGCCTATCCTGTTCTTCATGACAAAACCAAACATGACGAGGTGGACAAGTACTTTATCGAAGAGAAGATAGATAACGGGCAAATATGTGTGATCTACATACCAACGGTTGAACAAGTTGTACATGTTCTTACCAAGGAAACAGTTTGAGAATATGATATGCAAGCTGGCCATGGAAGATATCTTCAAACCAACTTGAGGGGAGTGTTGCAAAGGAGAATATTATGCTATAACTGATGACTGATTTCTAGGGGTTAGTTATGTTGCAAAGGAGGATACTAACTGATAGTTGATTTCTTAGTTAGCTGTAATTTATATTTAATATAGGTCTAGTCAAATTCACAAACTAGGAATGTAAGCTGTACAGTTATTCTATTTCCTATTTTTACTGTTTTGTGGTCAGGCCTTGGGTTTGCTCCCCAATGGTTATCAGTTCGAGTCCCTTCAGGGCCACTGAGGTGAGTACCCGACCGTAAACTTCAGGGCCCCGTGGAATTAGTCGAGGTGCGCGCAAGCTGGCCCGGACATCCACGGTTATCAAAAAAAAAAAAAAAAAAAAAAAAAAAAAATTGGAATTTGTGCTTGTCATGTTACTACAAATTGTTGTATCCAGCCGTAAACTTCAGGGCCCCGTGGAATTAGTCGAGGTGCGCGCAGGCTAGCCCGAACATCCACGGTTATAAAAAATTTTTTTTACTGTTTTGTATATGTAAATGTACACATGTATTTGATTTTCAAAGTAAGGAAATATAATTCCACAGCAATTTCCTCTTATTTTCTAGAGCTACATTTGTTAATCTTGTTCATTAGTTGGTAGCTCAGCATTATGCATTACACGACATGTATGCATTTTAGTCTACTAGTTACTAGTCATGAAATATTTGAGCTTGGGAAAGATAAAAACAGGGGGACTCATATGGTCACCAGGTGGTCATGAATGGGATGTTGGCCCTAATCAATGCATGCATCAGGTACCAAGAGCTGTTGATAGTGATAAACTGAAAGTTACGATCGATAAAACATATTGATAGTAAGTTGACATTTTAAGGGACACGACGGCACAAGTATAACAATTTAGTAAGGGAGACGTGAGTTACTATATGTATGTAAATATAATGCTGAGCGCTCGGTGAACAATAGTGATTGCTTGAAGGGCCCAAAGGAGCATTCGACTGATCGCAACAAACTGCACTGAGTTACCACCAATGCAGCGGCGGATCCAGAACCCGACGAGCTCCGACAGCCACCCGTGCTGGATTCACCGATATTCAATTTTTTTTAGGGTCAATGTATTTATTGTTCGAATTTCCGTGTTCACAAAGGCTTCTGTGATTCAGTTGGTCTGAGTACCTTACAAGTATACCGAAATCTTAGGTTCGACTCTCAAATATAACAATTTTTTTAGGGTAAAATTTCTCACCATTTTGGAGCATATAGTTATTATAAAAATTGGTGCAATTGGAGTATTAGAACCTGTGAACTCCGTTGGAATTATAAGGCACTTGACCACTACGGCATTTGTGACATTTTATGTAACAAAATGTTATATGTTCTTTTATCAAATAATAAATAAATTCCCTCATTTTTTAAAAAAACCTTTTAACTAAAATTCAACCTTTTAAAAGTAATTTTTTTCTGTTAGACTAAAATTATTAACAAATCGAACGAAGAAAGTAAATAATTGGATCCATTTTTAAACTTCAAATTGTTATTCGATAAACATTATTAGACTGGTAGATAACGTACAATCAAATTTGATACTAGGATTACGATCAGTGGTGGTCAATGGTCATACTTTGATACTCCCCATGCCTATATAGTGTATACCATGGACTCTAGAAATGAGTTTCATTTGGAAGAATAAGTACGATTCTCATACTTTTAATTATGAGATCAATATATCTAGTTGTAATAGGGTAAGCCTTTTGTAGGTTGATCTAGGCTCTAAGAATAATAACACACTACCATGTACCCTCTTTTGAATATTTTGTCAAGGCTTTCATACCTTGAAGGCCAACCCTTTATTTGGTAGTACACTATGCAACCCTAGTTTTTATTGAAAATAAGTCTGAGAACCCCATAACCTCTAAATCAAAGTGCATATATAGATAATGGATATGTTCTCGGGTTTGTGTTATTTTTTCACATTTCCACTTCATGTAAATAAATAAATACAAATATGTGTGCGTGTGTGTGTGCGCACACCCATACGCACCCGTGTGATATCATCCAAGTGATCACACAATTGCCTCTCAACCTATGAAGTAAATGCAATCCTCAATATCACCAGGTACAGGTAAAATAGTAGATGGAAGAGGGTGCTTACATATATTTAAAGCTGGTTGCGTATATAAGCCATTGATCTCAACATTGAACCTAAAGTCTCTCTTGAAACTTGAAATTTCACTTCTGTTTCACCCGTAGTTGTTTTAGAATCTTGGAGCTGAGAGGTAAAAACATCACAGGCGAGAAGATTACAAGGTAAAACTGGAAGAGAAAGGATAAAAAAATTATTTGGTGTTGTTCAAACACAAAACTTGCTAATTGTCGTGATTCATTTTAGTTCCGTCTAACTTGTTTGCGAGATCTATTAATTTCTCTTGCCTAAATACAACTGCAGAGCGCTGATCTTAAACACCAGTGTCATAAAACATAAATAATAAGCACCCAATATTTAGTGATGAATTCAACCACTGAAGTCTACTTATTAAACTTACACTAGTACTACACGTTATAAAGTAGCAAATTTAACAGAATAAAAACACAACACGTCTGCAAATTAACCTATCTGATTAATTACAGCTATAATAACTTTAGCCAACACTTCTGAGAAGAATATCAGCTTGAATTTTCCAGGTTTGTTATTTATATCTAGTAATTGTATCCACCAAATGTCATTCTCATTGTTATCCTGTCAATAATTATTGAATAAGGTGAAGGCATGAGACCAGCAATTACCTCTTTGCAAAATAAGGTGTAACCCCATGAGTTTTTCGAATTTTATACTTTGAAAAAAAAAAAAAAGTTGTACGTGTGTGTGTGTAAAAAGTTAAAATTATTAAAATGGTAGAAGATTTATATAGTAAAAATTTAAAAGACGGAGGAGAGATGGGACACCACATGCTTTATTATCCAGTAGAAAATTAAGTTGAAGTCTTCACGCTTTAAGGATTTTCTCAATGCTATCTTGTGGTATGTTATTGTGTAATTGAACCTTTATCCATCACAAAGTAACTTGGCCAAGTGGCAAATTGTCCATTGTTTTAATATAATATTTGAGTAGCCAGTGGGCATAAGTATTATGACTAGGTGTCAAAAAAAAGCTCTCCAATTTCACTCACAGTATTATCTCATCCTTGAAGACATAAGCCTCAGGAAATGCCTGCCTTAAACTTGAGCTTAAAGTCCTAGGACAGATCTCAACAAAAACTTCCAAAAACTCAATTAATTTAACCATTGATTCAAGTAGTAAGCAATAACGATTTACTGATATACAGATAGTATGTGAAGTCAATGGAAGCATAATTCAACTATTTAACAATTTTTAAAGGTTCCAAACATGTGTTTCTTTGATTAGTTCTCTACAAAAGAAGTAATAGCTTCCTCTTGACCATGATTATCAATTTAGCCCTATTTGCCTCATTTTCAACCACACATTTTATGGACCACTACTTTTATCAAATTTTCGACCACATATTTCATCAACTTTTATCAAAATCTACTAAAAACTGATTTTTAGCCGAACCAAACGGGGGCTTAATATAATGCAGTTCATTTCCTATTGTTCTTTTCAATTTTATAGCACGTCTGCAACTACATTATTCTTTCTTGACAACCATGAAAGCAGAGACACCTAGCTGCTGAAGCATTTCCTAGTAGCACTTTATTGAAGAAAACAGAGTGCTGCTTTAACAGCGAGGGGAATAAATCCCTATAGATACCTAATCAGAACATTTAATCATTTATTTGCGTACTTATAGCATACGCTCATAATGTGCAATGATGATTGCCATACATCTCCAAAGTGACTGCAGAACTCTCGAAGTAACTACAAATATTTTAAACATGCTAGCAGCATTACTAAGTGAAATATTAACCAGATAAGGCAGATACAGTTTCAAGTTAAGCTACATCAAGGAAGTGTTCAATAGCCAAAAATCTTTTAAGCGGGTCGCTTTTAGTTATTTGAAACCAACAAAGTTTGGAGAGTAATTGCGTAATTGATCGATGGAAGAGATTTAGAGCATCTACATACTTTTTCTCACTCCATCTTATAAATATAACATATAAGCCACCCAAACATGCTCTTGATCAACGAAAAAAAAAATCGAAAGAACAAAAGGATATTGATCTAAATAAAACCAGAAGATCCAGAGATTTAGGCTCAAAATCCAACAAAATTTTCTGGACTAAATAAGAATTATTCGACAATTATGTGTTCCAAAATAGCCATGTCTACTCATAGGCTCTCTACCCCTAAGAGCTCCAAAATCTACTCTAACTAGAAAAGCCTACGGGGAATAATAATTATAATTCTAGTTGAAACCTGGAAGAAAACTAAATTAGAAGTCCAGATAAACCTAATATATAACCAACTAAAGTTTAAGTCCAATAAGAATAAGAACACAAACTCAAGGGCTTGTAAGAGATTCAACTTTTACTCGTGTCAATTCTTCCTGAGGTGAAAAGAACTTGGATTTGACGACAAAACTTGGTTATATTAATCAAAAAATCAAGGATCGACTAAATTCAACTATGTTCAGTTATCCAAGTGCTTATTAGAAGGTTTGACCAATGATTTAATTAAAATCCGTCGACATTCGCTAATCCACATGAATGAACTTCCTAAGTAAAGAAATTCTTCAAAAACTTCTTTTGGCTTCTTGGGCAACTATATGCAACGCCAAATGTAAGGCCGATTTGAAGACATCTAACAAATCCACAGCATGAGCATTGGAAATAATTTTCTTTAAAACTTGCACGGACAATCTTCCTTGACTTGTGCTTATGATAAGTCCTCTTTTGAAACCTTTATTTTCTCAAATGGATAATTGCTTGATCACCTTCCACAAATTCCTTGAATTTATGGTGATGATCCTATACATGACTACTAAGGATAGTTGGCTGCTCTGCTACTAACTAGTCGTTGGACAAGCTTTAACCAACAAAATAATAAATCAGATTTAAAGAACGCCTTTTTATTTATAAGCTCTCTCTATACCCTAAAGATCCTTACTATCCTCTTTAGCTGTATTTAGAAAATTAAGTCACTAGGAAAACTAATGCTATAGAAACCTAAAAGACAGACTAAATTAAAATTGCAAATAAAACCTAATCGATAACCCACTAAAGTACAATTCCAATAAGAATACAAATACAAGTCCAACAGTGACATGTAAAATTTTAACTCTTGCTCCTGCATTACCATTACATTATTAATTGCTAGTTCTAGCCACCAGAATGTTCTGTTTTCAGGCATCAGCTACTACTTAGCATATGCTATCAAAGGTAACTTTGGCACCCCTCTTTACACCACATAAAGGGGACCATACCAGGTTATGACCCATTTAAAACAATGAAGCACGATGGGATTAGCAAAGCATCATAAAGAAACCAATTATTTGGATGCATTAATAAAGCAGTAAGGGTGGATCAATAGATCAAGATCAAGCAATTAAGGTTGCACGACTTGCGAGTTGCGTCACGAATAGCATCCCAATCCTTTGCCCTCCGAAAGGGGAAAATAGTAGTAAGACAAAAGAAAATTTAATCTTCTTATCTTTTTTGTATGTTCAATGGACTCCTAGAGGTAGGATAATTAGGGTAAACAACTAGAGGTAGAATATTGTGGTATGCTAATGCCTAGATCCAAGCACATTCAAGTGTAACCGGCTATGGATATAGCTACTGTAAGCAGAATATACTCCTCACACAGGTTTGGAGATAGCAATATACTCAAACACAAGATAATGAAGAAATTCCTAGTTTACAAGCAGCACAATGGATTGCTTCTCGTAAATAATGTTCCACACTACCCCTTCCTTCCTCTTCCCTTTATCACAGCTTAACATCGCTAATTGTAACCAATAAAAAGTGTAACCACAAAAAAGGGATTATATACCATTGGCATGATGTCACATGAAATATTTGAAATGAAAAAAAATAATAATAATAAAAGAGAGACTGGTAAAAGGTCAAAGAAGATTGCAAACAAAAAATGGGAAGGTGTGAAACTATGTTCTCCTAAGTCCCATCTTTTTTTTTTTGCTAGCAGGGAGAGAAAAAAATAATGCTAAAGATAAAGTTACACGCACCTTTAGATTGATAACAGCAACCCTGTTAGCTGACATTGAAAGCTGTTGGCTTTTGTAAGCCATGGATTTCAACATTGGCTCTAGTGTGATTCTTGTAAGTCTAAACTGCACTTCTGTTTCTCCTGAAGGAGTCTTGCCATAATCTTGAAGCTGCACTTAGGGCAGAAAAGCAGCATTAATCTTTTGACATCTCACAGGATGCTAACCACACCATAGTGTGTCAATATATATATTTGGCGATAGTAGTACAGATTGAGGGATTTTTACTAGCTCCAAGAGATGGTAAATAAATTTCATGATGAACTTCATGTCTTCAACAGAGGAAGATACATCAACTTTACTCGACAATCATGGTGTAGTCGGAGTAAGTAACAGGTGACAAAAAACAGAAATGTTCTTGATTAAAAGATCAACTGGAAGTTTCAAAATGGTCATGTATAAACTTCTAACTAGTTAATCAATTGAACTCAACCAAGCAACGTCCAATTAAAAAGAAATATCCGCCAGACGCCAGTGCAAACAGTGACGGCCGTACACACCTTCAAATTAATAACAGCTACTTTACTTGCTGCAGTGTTATTTTCTATCGCCCACGTCATGGACTTGAAACAAGTGAGAACAGCCTACAAAGATGAATGAAATTAACATATCATGTAAAATGTGTGCGTGGATTTTTTTATTTTTTTTTTGGGGTTGGGGGGGGGGGGGGNTTTCATACTGTATTATCAGCTAAGCCTCCATCCGGTTTGATAGCAATCGGAACCATAGTCGGCTGATTCAAATCAGCAACAGGCACTCTGACATCATTAAGATTAAAGCGAGTTGGCAAAGTGTCTTGCCAAGGCCATAATGACGGGATCATATCTGGAGTTGCCATGGATGCTTTCTTTCTTCCATTTTCATGGAGATTTCCACTGCCCTGAGAAGTAGGAGGTTTAATTTTGTCAATAATATTCTTATCCATTGCAATCTTCGTCGAACCCTCTCTAAGAGCACTCAAAGCAGCATTATAAGTCTCTGTAGCAATAGCTCCTTCTTCTGCAAATTTTAATACTTCCCGACAAAGATTGTTGAAACGCAAGGTCAGAGACTCTAGACATGGTATATCAGAATCTTGCTCTTCCCTCCATCCACTTCTAGCATTCCTTGTCCACCTCTTCAATATATAATGGGATGGAACAGTGAGAACATTTGTTACTGTAAAGACAGTTAATATGTGTCTACAGAGAACACCCACATACTCAAACATCTGACAGCTGCAAGTTGCATTCATCAAAGAAACATCTAGTTTGACTATGTATGCCTTGTGATCATATTCATATTTTGCAACCCTAAATTTGCTTATTGTCCCATCACCACCAATTTTATTGGCAGTGTATACAAAGGTTTCAACCAGTTCTTCTTGAAATTTCTCAAAAACCTTTTTCGTATAAAGGTTTGCTGCCTGTTGTTCCATCGGTGATGGAGTCTTCAATAATGGGATGGTAGAAAATGTATCATAATCTGCCTCTATTTCTCTTTCTAGCGAATTTTCTAAAGCCCTTTCATACTGTTTAAAAAATGCGGGTATGGTAGTCTGCTGATTGACATACCCATCAAAAAAGGAGCTTACTCCATGGTTTGACAAAAGTGCAGCAAATAAAGTATCGCGAAAATAAACAGGAGCCCACTGCTTCCGAGCATTATAAACAGCTTGAAGCCACTCATTTTTGTGTAGATCATATCTATCAAGGATAGAACTCCAAGATGATTCAAAATCCTCAATTGTCTCAGAAAAGTTGATGCAGCTATAAAGTTCTCCATAAAAAGATGGATGAGCAAGATATATATGAGCCAACCTTTCCTGGCCTTCTCTTAAGATGTGCAACTTGCAAATGCAGTGACGAGTTTCTGGGAATACTTGATGGATTGCTGCCTTGATGGCTCTATCTTGGTCAGTAGTTATGGAAACAGGAGGCCGATTGTTCATTGCAGATAGCCAATTTTTGAAAACCCAAGTAAAGGAAGCCTCGGACTCATCCATAAGTAATGCACAGCCAAACAAAACCATTTGTCCATGATGATTCACACCAGTGAAGGGAGCAAATGGAACCTGTAACTGATTTGGCCTATACATCGTATCAAAAATAACTGAATCACCAAAGTGACTATAAGCGGTCCTTGATCTTGCATCAGCCCAAAATACATTTGTCAATCGATTGTCATCGTCGAGCTGTATGGCATAATAGAAACCAGGGTTTTCAGCCTGCATCTTACCAAAATATGTGAGGAGGTTGTGGGCATCTCTTCCAAGAGCTCTCTTCCTGTTAGAAGGTTGAATATAAATCATTGGTGTCAAAGGGGCAAAATTTGTTGGAGGATTAGTTTCCACGGAAGATACATGCCTAGCATCACGAGTTTTTTCTAGTTGAGATGTATTTTTAAAAACATGATTAGGATCATCAAATCCATGGTTCCCATCAATGGAAATCATAACATCATTTTGGTTATAAACAGTCTCTGACACGTTCTTTGTAGCTCCAACAAAATGCCTGCGAGGACGAAGGTAATGTACCTTGCTGGGACTCACTATAGAATGATTATGATGCTCCCCAAACTTTGTCACCACCCAACTATCAGGATCCTGTTTCTCTATCCGAAGCACAGCATTACAGCTTTCAACATTCTTTCTTTTGAAAATCTCTCTGGAACAGGCAAAGTCCCAAGAAATAATTGGACCATCAGGCATAGTACGGCTGTACTGACCAACATGTGTACTGAAACCCACTCGCCTGGCATATGCATCATAAAAGTTCTTGGCAGCTTCTTCAGATTGAAACTCCATACCCACATATGGACTCCCATTCCCATCATCAACTTGATTGCTCACTTCCTCAATAGAATTTTCTGGGAAACTTTGGTTCTCATCCTTGCTGCATTCATCTTGTGTTTCTCCATTTTTTTGCCTCTTCTGCCTTTCCACTTCAACTACTTCAACATCCATATTGTTGAACCAATGATATTAAGACATGTAGCGAAACTTGTTGCGTTTATCTGCATGTCCTTTCATCATGTCTGGAGGCAAGTAAATAAAAGAAAAATAACGACTATTTAACGATCAATTTCTTTAAAAAGCAGCGACGTGTATAACAAAGAAATTCCATCAAATGAAAAAAATAGCCTCTGATAAGAAACGTCAAAATAAACCTATGACCTAAGAGTCACTAAAATTTTTCATAAACATTAAAAAGAAAAAAGAACAGCAGTTACCATATAATTGCAAGCAAATTCTGATGAATTTATTCTACTGGGTCATCTATCAAAATGCCTTTTGTTGATACACCTATAACAGAGATAAGAACTTTTCCCTGTACATGATCAGGAGATTATAAAATATCCACTTATCCCCCTTCAATTTTTGGTCATCGGTCAGCTCAGAGTCACTAAAAGTGCGTATGACATGGTCTCTGCAATGTTAGCAAGGATATCATACTGAAAACAAATACAACACCAATTGGAATGTCCTTTTCTTGAAATAGGAATTCAGAATTCGTTCTCCCGAATTTTGAGGATCCAAATTTTGCATTCTATCATTTCAACTGAGCAGCACAAATAACCAAATATAGATGATCCTGTATATATTTGGACAGAGATGATCCACTGATAATGTATGGGTCACACACAGAACAAAAAAATGTCATCTTAGCTTTACTTGAGTTCTAAGCCCCTCTTTGGGATACATTACAATGAGATTTTTTAGAAAAATGTACTTTAGAATAATAATTTTTTTTTGGAGGACGTGTGTTTAAAAAATTAGGAAAAGTTTAAGGTTTATTTGTAACATTATTTAATGGGAGTATGCATTGAAAATAAGTTTTTGAAAAAAAAATACATTTCTAAAAAAATGGAGCCCATACCCTCAGTATACCAGAAATCAGGAAGGTGATAATTTCTTTATTCATATTACTTTTAATTTTATTTCTCTTCCCATAGCTCGTTCGAAAATCACAAACAAAGAAATGCACAACACTACATAGTTGATCAATAGCAGAGGAACCCTAATATCCAAAATGGCGTTTAACATTTCGTCTTTAGCTGAAATAATGTAAGCTGTCGATAAAGATGGTAATTGCTTAATTCTAATTAAGATGGAAAATAAAGGATAAGTTCTGACCTCTACGTCTTCTTTCCAATGTCAACAAACCCGTAATTAAATCCCCGAGTCAATGAATTTCTGGCTAGTTATGGGCCGAGTTCCGCGAGTACAATGGGCGCCATTGAAACAGCAAGATTTCATTTCCTCTGTATTTCTCGCGTGCGCGCGCGTGTTCTATGGATTTTTCTACCCCAAACAGAGAAAGCGACAGAGGCCGAGGCCCAGCCGCAACTCTTTCTGTTCATTTGTTTATTGGCTTAATTTCACGTATGATCACTGAAGTTTAAATTTCTATCACAAACGGTCACTAAATTTTCATATTTTTTGGGCAAATTTTGTATCGATTTTTCGGCAACTTCCGCCCACCAAGACTGCGGGATTGGATATCATTGGAAAGCCCACAATATCCTCTTCAATTACCACCAAAAATCTTCTCATAACTCCAAGGAATTCGGCAAAAATATACCGACGAAGTCGGCTACCGAAAAATCTGAAAATCTATCTAGATTTTCAGATTTGTTGGGCGAGTTTGCGGTAATTTTTCGGCAACTTCAGACCAGCAATACCGCTTGTTTCGGATACCGTTGGAAAGCCCACAATGTCATCTTCAATTATCACGAAAAATCTCTCCATAACTCTAACGGATTCGGCCGAAATAAACCCACGAAATCAGCCACCCAAACTGGGCAGATTTTCAGATTTTTTTGGTAGCTGACTTCATGAGTTTATTCCGGACGAATCCCTTGGAGTTATGAGGTGATTTTTTATGGTAATTGAAGGGACGTTGTGGGCTTTCCAACGTTGTCTGAAACCAGAGGTATTGATGGTCGGAAGTTACCAGTTGTGGGGATTTTTTGTGGTAATTGAAGAGGACATTGTGGGCTTCCAACGGTATCCAAATCCGACGGTCTTGATGGTCGGAAGTTGCCGAAAAATCTCCGCAAAAGTTGCCCAAAAAATCTGAAAATTCAGTGACCGTTTGTGAAAGAAGTTTAAATTTCAGTGACCGTTTTGTGATTATCAGGTAACTTCAGTGACTGTTTATGAAATTAACCCTTTGTTTATTTTTGGTTTCCTACGGGTCCCCTTTATTTGAGGGGGAAAAGTTACATTTTAGCCTGCTATAAAAAGTACATTTTCAAAAAGATTTGCGTTACTTTCATAAAATTCACTCTGAATCATACTATTTGTACAAATTTTTTTTATAACATTAATTAACAATATTCTACTTGACAGCATCATATTCATTTAGACCCCGTTCGGGAGGGATTAAAATCCAATTAAAATTGAAAATATGGCCGTTATTGGGTCCCACTTGTCTAATAAAAGTCAACAATAACGGCTATATTTTCAATTTTAATCCGATTTTAATCCCTCCCATACAAGGCCTTAATTTAAGGCTACGTCTTTCGACCTCGATAACTTTGGTCTCAACTTTATATTTTCTAATTCCAATCTTGTTGGTCAACCCCTCCATTTCATAGTCATAGGTAATATGAACTAGTATCAATTTACATTGGATATCGGATATTAAACATTTGTTTGAAATTTGACTACAAATCCAACCCAACCAAAAAAAATCCACCACCAAAACCCCGTCGCCTCCTAAACCCAACCAAAAAAAATCGAGAGTCTTTGTTAAAACACTCAGTCAAACATTGTCATTGGATAAAAAGCCCCTTCCCAATGTTTGTTTGTCAAATGGTCTCAATTAAAAAAATCAATAAATAAAGAGTATAAAATGTCTAAAATAACCTTATCATGAAAAGACACAAATATCCTTTCAATCCAATTAATTTCCCCAATTCATCTCCAAGACAATTAACGAGCTCTCTGTCTCCCGTGCTTGTTTCCCCCACAAAATCACGCTATTTATTATATTAATCACCTATGTTTTCCTACATTTTGAGTATTTGAACAATAATTTTGGTTTATATATTATCTACATTGAAATCTCTAAATATTTGAAGAAAAAAGAAGTGTATTTTTGTAAATCTCATGTATATTGGTCATTTTATTGTTGAATATAGTATGAAATGATATTTTAGCTGATTTTTCTTCACAGTTGGTTGTATTTCTGTATTGTTCGCAACTATTTGACGAATTGTAGTTCAGAACGACAGTCCAGTCGTTTTACGTAGTATATAACGACACTACAGTAGCCGTCCATATAAAATGAAAATACAAACAATATCTATTATGATCTGTTTGTTCTTGATAATACAATGTCGCTACTTTGATAATTTAAATATGAAAACTATTTTCATATTATTTTGATATATATTTGAGTAAATTATTTAACTTTTTTTTTGTATTTACTGCTATGGATTCTATAGAAATTATATGGGTACAAATATGCTATTTTGTAGAGTTTAAAAAGATTGAAGAATGCAAATAGACATGGATTTATGTAGGGAATGCTAAAGAAAATGTGGATATTCTTTATGTTCCAACTAACATTTTGTATATAGAGTTATACAGATCGTGTACCGCTCAGTGAGAGACATGAACGATGAAGGCAAGACGGCACACATGCGACTTTTGTAGTGTTACGATATACTTCTTTTGTAATATTGAAAAATGATGGTGGTGTTATGTTGCGATGTGCTACTTTTGTCATTTTGAAAAGCAAACTATTTATAATGATTGGAATGAGGGATTTTGTCATTGTCTTACGCTCGAAGAATCCACAACAGTAGTTATCCTGTTTTTCGTTACAACAAAACATAGCTAGTGCTGTAACGACACTTGTGGCATTTTCAAAACAATAACGACAGTTGAGTCGTTTTCCTTTGTCCTGTATTAAGTAATGCGCAAATCTCGAGAACATTGTAATCGGTGTGTCCAACCTACGGCTCAAATGAGTTCATCTCATCGATTATCGTGGCTGGGACAGGTCATGGCTCATTGTACTCATGTTTAGAGGAAGAACGACACTTGTGCCTTTTTCAAAATAGTAACGGCAGTTGTGTCATTTTCATGTATTCGTTTATAAAGTAATGAGCATAACTCTCGAATATTGTAAGCGGTGTGTCCAGTCTACACCTTAAATGAGTTCAGATTATCGATTATCGTGGCTCAAACGGGTCGCGGCTCTTCAAAATCCTGTTTAGAGGCAGAACGACACTTGTGTCATTCTGTTGATTTTTCAAGTTCTTTTGCTGCTTTTCAATCGAACAACCTCAAGGATTGGACCCCCCAAACTAAGAAGGTCGAAAATGGTGATTATGTGACAACTAACGGTGGAATTGATATAGAATATGAGGTATCAAACGGTAAAATCACAAATCTTGGTTTAGATTCGCTTGGAAGTACAAGTAATGGCCATATCTTAAGAATTTTGTAAGCGGCGTGTTGAGCTTGCAATTTAAATAGGTTCAGTTTATCGATTATCCTAGTTTCGGATGGGTTATTTTGCTACTTTTCAAGACAAAGACATCAAGGATTGGACCCCCAACCTAAAAATGATGAAAATATTGATTGTGTGACGACAGGCAGTGGAATTGATATACAATATAAGGTATGAAACGGTGAAAGCACAAGTCTTAACCTAGATTCGGTTGAAAGTACAAGGAATAGACATATCTCAAGAATTTTGTAAGCGGTGTGTTCAGCCCTCAACTTAAATGGGTTTCGTTGATCGAATATCATGGCTCTGATGAGTCGCGGCTCTTCAAAATCGTATTTATTGGCAGAACGACATTTGTGTCGTTCTGTTGATTTTTTCAATATTTTGCTATTTTCAAGCCAATGACATCAAGGATTGGACCCCCTAACTTGGGAAGGCTGGACGTGTTGATTAGGTGACAACTAACGGTGGAATACATGAGTTCCCTTTCAGAACGACA